CACACACACACACACACACACACACACACATATATATATATATATATATATATATATATATATACATATATGTTAAAAAGTTAAGGTTAACTTTTTATGTTTTTAAAATCACTTATGCTCACAGAGGCTGCATTTATTTGATCAAAAACAGTATATTTTATCTAATTCACTGACATTTGTCACTTTCTGCTTCAACCAACTCAATCACTGCTCCAATAGTGATAAATTGCAGTTTAAATTGGGAGACAAACAATGCATCCATTGCTTGTTTTACCTCTGTAAGGAATTAGGGCAGCTCTGCACTTGTCTGAGCGTGAAAGCCTCTTTTGTGGCTGTAGTAACATTCAGACCCATTGATTTTGGTGGTTTGTGGCTTGGTGGTAACAATGTTGCATCTTGTGATGTTGTCATTTTTGTTGTAGGTGTATTTACTGATGACTTTCCAGAACTCTGCACAGTTGCTACAGGAAGACCCAGACTTGTTTTGGGAAATGTTTGGATCAGTGTTGAATCTGGTAAAGTCAGCTTGGGAGGATTGTTGGGTACCAATGGAGCTGTACATTGAGGCATTGCTGGAACAACCAGTTCAGCTGTTTTTGGTACGGTATGATTTGGTAGGGTTACATTCACTGCTTCAGTATGCTTCGGTCCGATTGTGTTGGGCAAAACCCCAGTCGTTGTCACAGGAACAGGTGCTTTGGTGTTTAGCTGTGACGTTTTCCTGTCATCTTGGGCTTCCGTCTTAGGTGGAGCAATAACAATCCTCTGGGTCACCACTGATGCAGCAATGACAGATTTCAGGACATCATTCTCGTTTGGTGGCATGTTCTTATTTTCAACCTTATTCATTTTCTGTGTTTGATGTCGAGATAGATCCGATCTTGGGCTTACAGTGGATGTTCCTCTTTCTCCCTTGATCTGCAATTTAGGTTCATGTTGAACTTTAACCTCTGTTGAATCTTTTTTAGGTTGATGGTCCTCTGTTCTCGTTCCGTTGTTTTCATTGATTTCTAGCAAAATACCTGCACAAACAAAAGAAACTGTCTAAGTCCTTTTTTTTGTGAAATATCCCCAATAAATATGTATAAATGTAAGTTGCTCTATATATACTTTCAATTTGTAAACCTAACATTCATAGCAAATATTTGAAAATATTTTAATTCCCCAAAGTCATTGTTTTTTGTATAACCTTAGTCAGGTGATTTGTGGGTCTCCCTGTCATTCTGCAGTGCATAATTAACATGCTAACAGACCCGTCATTCAGATTTATGTCCGTCAAAAATGACTACTGTTGCCCCACTTCACCTTTCCAAATGATATATAGTGTAATTCCATTTTATTGTAGTTACCTTTCTCCAAAGGCATATTAAAGGCATGTGGCACCATACAGTCTCTGTCCAAGCGAACATAGATTTCCTCCTGTCAATAAAGAGTGATAGAGGAAAAAATGTTTACAAACAGGTATAAAATACATGGTCAAGGGTTCAGATGAAGAACGATAACTGTGACAATTACTGCTTTATTGTCAACAATAATGGATGATTATGTTCTGTTTATTATATGTATGTACATCATTTTTGCTGTTTGCTGCTTTAAATGCTCAAACTCTTTAAAATGTAATGGATTCTGATTGGCTGTCGATGTTTTTTCATTCATCAGCTGGAGAAAAAAATCATTCTGAAAGTAATTCAAATGATATTGTCCTTCTGTGTCATTATCGTCATAGTTGTGGTGTGAACTTTCCCATTCTCATACATTTTTTAAAAATACAGTTATCGTCCTTGGTGTTAATGGGCCTTAAATGTGATTTATGCCATGTTGATTAATGCAATGGCTGTTTGCTATAGACTTAAGAGTTAATGGAACCGTTTATAAGCAATTCTGGCTGATGTCCTTCTTTCCACTGACCGCAGAGTTTCGAACAGGCAGTGATTTCCGTCTCTGTAGAGCCGCTAATGGCACAGACACTCTCTCACACTGTCTGTCCTCCAGACCTTTCATATTCAAGAGACAGAATTGAAAATTGTTTAGACACCAACTTAGTTCCAAACCTGTATGACACCTTTTTTTTTTCCTGCTTGATCTGCAATTTAGGTTCATGTTGAACTTTAACCTCTGTTGAATCTTTTTTAGGTTGATGGTCCTCTGTTCTCGTTCCGTTGTTTTCATTGATTTCTAGCAAAATACCTGCACAAACAAAAGAAACTGTCTAAGTCCTTTTTTTTGTGAAATATCCCCAATAAATATGTATAAATGTAAGTTGCTCTATATATACTTTCAATTTGTAAACCTAACATTCATAGCAAATATTTGAAAATATTTTAATTCCCCAAAGTCATTGTTTTTTGTATAACCTTAGTCAGGTGATTTGTGGGTCTCCCTGTCATTCTGCAGTGCATAATTAACATGCTAACAGACCCGTCATTCAGATTTATGTCCGTCAAAAATGACTACTGTTGCCCCACTTCACCTTTCCAAATGATATATAGTGTAATTCCATTTTATTGTAGTTACCTTTCTCCAAAGGCATATTAAAGGCATGTGGCACCATACAGTCTCTGTCCAAGCGAACATAGATTTCCTCCTGTCAATAAAGAGTGATAGAGGAAAAAATGTTTACAAACAGGTATAAAATACATGGTCAAGGGTTCAGATGAAGAACGATAACTGTGACAATTACTGCTTTATTGTCAACAATAATGGATGATTATGTTCTGTTTATTATATGTATGTACATCATTTTTGCTGTTTGCTGCTTTAAATGCTCAAACTCTTTAAAATGTAATGGATTCTGATTGGCTGTCGATGTTTTTTCATTCATCAGCTGGAGAAAAAAATCATTCTGAAAGTAATTCAAATGATATTGTCCTTCTGTGTCATTATCGTCATAGTTGTGGTGTGAACTTTCCCATTCTCATACATTTTTTAAAAATACAGTTATCGTCCTTGGTGTTAATGGGCCTTAAATGTGATTTATGCCATGTTGATTAATGCAATGGCTGTTTGCTATAGACTTAAGAGTTAATGGAACCGTTTATAAGCAATTCTGGCTGATGTCCTTCTTTCCACTGACCGCAGAGTTTCGAACAGGCAGTGATTTCCGTCTCTGTAGAGCCGCTAATGGCACAGACACTCTCTCACACTGTCTGTCCTCCAGACCTTTCATATTCAAGAGACAGAATTGAAAATTGTTTAGACACCAACTTAGTTCCAAACCTGTATGACACCTTTTTTTTTTCCTGTGGAACACAAAAGAAGATATTTTGAAGAATGTTGGTAACTAAACAATTTTGGTTCCCTTTGACAAAAAAATACTTGGAAGTCAATAGGAACCCATACTGTTTGGTTGTTAACATTCTTCAAAATATTTGTGCTCAGCAGGAGAAAAAAAAAAGTTTGGAACACCGGGAGTAAAACAATTATGACAGAATTTTCAGAGTTTTGGTTGGACTATCTCCTTAAAACAGTTTAAAATATCTGATTGTCACTGCATTCTGGATCCGTACCACGCGCCAGGTCCTCCAGAGCTGTTCTCATCTCCAAGACTTTCTTTTCAAGAGAATCCAACAATCTGGTCTGAGCTGACAGCTGGCTGGTCACGGTCTCCTGCAGTGTGCTGTGCTGAACGCAGGTCCCACACATGGGGCAACTTCTCTCTGGGCTCAAGAGGAGCTGCTCCACTTTAAACCGTAAGTCATCAACCTTGGCCTCCAGGGTTGTGGGGATGGACGGAGGCACAGGGCATTTCATAGAGCCCTTGAAAGACATTGAAGGAAGGCTGTGCTAGAGAGACGGGGAATAAATAGAGGTATTGAAGACAAGGTCTTTTTGAGGTCAAAATTACAGTTAGGCCAATAGATTTGCACACACAGTGAACATCATTGTTGTTACTTCCAAGTTTTTAATAGAAATCCACTTAAACTAGACTAAGTTGGTTTGCTGGTCTTAGGTTTAAGATGGTCTCCCAGCATAACCAGCTGAAAAGAACCCAAATTATCCCCATAAAAAAAAAAAAAAAGATAAATAGATCCAACTAAGACTGGTTAAACATTTTATTTTATTCCCAAAATAAAACACAGGTAGACAAAGTTTTGCACGCACAGCTGTCAAATAACAAGGACCTTTAAGCTTTTATTTAACGTTATATTAATACAATTAACTATGTAATTAATAACCCAGTTAACAATATTACAATTAAATAGATGACATTAAATTACTAGTATTACAATTATTGAAAACCCTAATATTTAAAAAATTTTAGCTGTACCGTTTTTCAAATTCATAGCTTTTTTCATTTAAAGTCCTGCAGTATGACAAATGATCTTTTTAAAAGTAGAAATATCCCATACGTTTTCTGTAACTACAGATATACACATACAGTAAGTCAAAAAAGTGGAAAAGTACAGTATGAAATAAAGCATAGCTATCCTCCAGCGTAACTGAATGATTAATCTTAATAATGTCTTCAGATTCAACTCCAAATAAGATATTTTACAATAAATTCTCAAAAAACTTCACACCCACCTTTAAAGATGTTTGACCAGTTTAAGTACATGTGTTTTCCGCCAAGGGTTTGAACAGACTGTTCTCTGGTGTTTTGTGGAAGCTCACAGAGTACCAGTCTGTCAGATTCCTCTTGTATCACTCCGTGACCACCTCACCAGAAATAGGCAGGCCAGAGATGGGGGCTCACAAACAGTAAACTGATAATAGAGGCACGCAGAGCTGGCCCTGGGGAGGGGGCACAAAGTCTTTCCAAGACAAAAAGAGTAGAGACAGCAAAGCATGAGCTTAACGAATGTGAGACACGTCCCTATAGTGTTAAACCATGCACTGCTGACAGTCATGCAGCTTTAATGGAATAAAATTTCTGCCCTTTACTTAACTTACATATAAATTACATATTGAAACAAGAATAAAACTTTGCATGACAAGTATTAAGTAAAGTTACTAATAACTAGAAAGTGCAAGAATCAAGACGGTTGAGCCCTTATGGATGGTATTCTACCAAATTAAGACAGAAATATATAGATTTAGTAAGTTGAATGGTCCCATTTAAGTTCAGCCTACACTGTAAAAAATGATTGTGATTTTAACAGTAAAACTGTAAAAATGCTACAGTAAAAACCTGTTAACTGGTTAACAGTAAGTTTCCATACTATATATACGGTGAATAAATGTAATTACATTTAATGTAATTTCACAGTAAAATACTGTTAAAAATACGGTTTTTGGAAGTGAAAAAGAAAAAGTAATTGTATAATTTACAGTGAAAACCGCAAATTGACACTCCCAGAATTCCCTGCATGACACTTCATATTTGATGTTTTTTTTGTTGAAATAATATGTTTCTTCTTAGTTTTTTCTTATCAGTTGTGTACATTAGGGTTTAATCGTACATCTAATGTTGTTAAATTAATGTTTATTGCATTATTTCAGTATCGTGTGTGTCACCATGATGGGGTTTAGTGTTTGTGTGAATGAGACTGTGTGCACCTTCTATATATAAGTATTGCCCTCCTCAGCTCGTAGAAAAGCTGTTTGTGATGAGCTTTGGTTCATCATGTGACTTTCTCATCACCACCAGTTTTTGGTGGTTATCAGTTCATTACAATGGTTCAAAACAGATATTAACATTTAAAATATGTTGGTTTATTAACATTACATCAGTTAATGAAATACGGTATTTTATTGTGAATTTAAGTTAAGTTTGTAAAACCTAAAATGTTGCTACCATATTTTTGACAGTGAAGTTCTGGCAACCACAGCTGCTGGTATTTTACCGTAAATGTCACAGATTTTTTTTTACAGTGTAGGAGTGGGCCATATGACCAAAATCTTATTTCACGGTATGAGACATTTTATTTCACAATAACGATATATACCCCGTTATAGCTATTTTTATTTTATTTGTTGTTAAATTTAAGAAAAAGAAGCAAACTACAAGCACAACAGAACAAACAAATATGAAATAACTTTTAATTTATTTAGCTACAGTAGGCTAGGTTTATTTAACATGTAGTAAGAAATATTACAAAAATGTAATAAAGTGTATAAATAAAACACTGCATAGTCTTCAGTGTATCAATCAAACTTTAACATTAAAGAGGTCCTATTATGCTCTTTTACAAAGTTTTGATTTTGTTTGGGGGGTGTACTAGAACAGGCTCTCATACTAGGTTGTTCGA